CTTTTTCTATTCTTCCATTAAAAAATATCTCTCCGTTTAACTTCATATTATTATTTGCATTAAAATTCCATGTATACTCGAGATCCACATGATCAAATTATATATTTTGAGTTAATAATTTCCCCGAATTAGGAATATTTCATCATGGTATGGACGTCAATATATAGTCATTAAAAGGAGGTAGTTCGGTAGTTCTAAACCTTCACTGCATGCTCGTAATTATTAATGTCACACCTCTAATTATAACAACTTCAACTCACCTTTCATATTTAAGTTGCCACTCTCAAAAGTATACCCATAATGCTAATCTTATTTTTTTCTCATTTCATTTTTTATTATGGTAGTCGATCGTGATAATTTTTATTATCAAAAGATATATGTGTTACAATAATAATTACTGATCATTAGCAACAATTAAATCTTATTATATATATATATATATCTTGATCAGGACATATATATATATACATATCATAAGTGTCGATGAGTAGATAATATTATCACTCATTAATTCGTATTTATTAAGTACCATCGCACACCTAATTGTCCATTTCGTAAAGAGATATTGATAGATTTTAAATATATAATATGAAAAAGGTAAAATTAATCAATCAACCAAATTTAATGGTGGACATATATACAAGTCAATCAAACTTCATATAATAAGTTTCTGTCGCCACCTTGTTTGGGTCCATGCCAACTTTTTGTCCACGTTGTATTATTTTTTTATTTTTAAATATTGTTTATCTAATTACTACTATTTTCATTTCTTGATTTAGTAAATCAACTAGATATATGACTGTTAACAATATATGCACATTAATTAATTAACTAGTCTTGCAATATCTCAAGGTAATATAATTATATAGTAACTAATCAATCTTAATTATTGTGTGTACAACAATTTGTCTCATACTTCACACACACGAGTCATGACACAACACCACATATATCATATATGAACATGAGATTCAATGTCACAAAAATAATCAAAATTCTTCTTATACATGATATGTGTATCAACAGAACGTTTAATTGGCACTTGCTTAATTAGATCAGTAATAAATTGACCATACATTGCAGGCCCTACTAGCAACATGTTTGTTGATTGAACAATGGTAGACAAATTAAATTACATTTAAAAAAAAAAAAAAAAAGAGGCCAAGGCTAGCTAGATTGAGCCGGCTTAAATAGTATATGGCTTCTATTTTAGCTAGCACTTGGATCCCTTGCGGCAATTTAGGGCACCAGCAGTAGAAGTTAATGAGCCGACTAAAGAAGATGGCTTGGCTCCTAAGCTCGATGCCTTTGCATAACTTGAAGACGAGCCGGCTGCCCCAGAAGCCGTAAAAAATGCGCCGTTTAGCATTAGGTCCCCTTCCGATCTCCAGTTCCAATTTTTCCATTCACTCTCAGCTGCATCCTCGTGTTTGGTCACCTGCATGTGTGAACGTATTATTTTTTTTTTTTTCAATTCAAATTTTGAATATTAGTGCATCCATATCAGTATTGAGAAAAAATCAATTTTGTAAAAAAATTAAAGGTAGTAGTAGTACTACTGTTTATTAACTAGTAGTGTGGACATTTATTGTTGGTTTGTTGAAAAATTGTGGAAAAAAAAAAAAAGGTACGATCGATCGAGTAGGAAGATTCATATGATATGTCATAAAATCTGTCGGTTAGGAATTGGCAATAACAGCCTCTACCAACCGTATATGAAAATGACAGTTATTAGTTAAGTTATAATTAATTCTATGCCTAAATTAGGTTATTATGATTACATATATATATATATATATATATGTGTGTGTGTGTCACAACTAATTAATTTAGTGTTTGATTATTAGTTATTACTTATGAGTTGTGAATGAATTAATTAAAAAAAAAAAAATATTCACCTCCTTGCTGTTGTCATCAGCTGGTGCAAGAAATCGATTGCCCTGGCTATTGATTGTGGGGTCCGCACTCCCACCAATAGCATACATCTCCCAATGTGTGTAGTCATTGTTCACCACATGGAAATACCCATGCCTACACCTATATATATATATATATATATAAAAGAATTATAAATTTTTAATTGGATCTAACACATTAATTAATTAATTAATTAACAAATTAATTTAATTAATTACCTGGGCATCCTTTGCACAAGGCCCTCTCCAAAATGATTAAAAGCAATAGTAACCTGCATGCCCTTGTCCTGAGTGTAGGAATCACTATGCCCCAAAAGCATGACTTTATCATGATGGGTCATATAATTATTCGAAATCGTGATAGCCGTCGATCCATGAATGGCGTCGATCAGACCGTCGGCACAGTTGGACAAGGAGCAGTGGTCCACCCACACGTGGCTACTTCCGAAGATGGACATGCCATCACCATCCGATATGGTCCTCCACCCGTAATGCCCTGGGGAGTCCCGCACCATAGCATTCCCCCCGGGCTTGCAGTCGTGTATGTGTATACCGTGGATGATTATGTTGGTGACAAATTGGGCGGTGATGCAGGGCCCGTTGGCGATGTGGACGCTGGCTCCCCTGCCGTCGATGGTTTTGAAGGAGTTGATGATGAGCTCCTCCTTGAGTTTGATGGTCATGTCGCGGGCGAATATGATCCAGAGTGGCTCGTCTTGGATGACAGCGTGGCGGAGGGTGCCGGGTTTGGGGGTGACGGGGTCGTCGTTTTCGGAGTCGGTGACGACGTAGATGCGGCCGTCGCGGCCGCCGATGGCGTTTTTACCGAAGCCGATGGCGCAGTCGGCGAGTTTCTGGCGGTTGTGTTCCCAGTTGGAATCGCAGCGCCAACAGTCGTCGATGGGGTTGCCGGTGTTGCAGGAAAGGAATCCGAGGTTGCGCCTAGACTCGTTCAACTTGCTGCAATTAAATATTAGTACAGAGATCGACAGTAGTTAATGTATGTGTGTGTATGCAGTATGTATGTACGTATACCTTTGTAGTTGTTGGACGACCAAATGAGGAGGAGGAGGATTTTGTTGTTGTTGTTGTTGTTGTAGTAGTAGTGTACGAGAGGAGGCAATGATCAGGGCGGATTGGAAGAGGATTGTGAGGCAAAAGATGAGGAAAATGGTGGAGGTTAAACAATTAGTTGAAGGGAACTGATCAGCCATTGTAATGAAAAAGAAAAATTAAGCTGGTGGTAGAGAGGAGAGAGTAAAGTAATAGATGAATGGGGGGATGCAGGGAGGGAGGGAGGGATTATAAAGAGGAGAGGAGGATAATTATTAATTAACAAGGAGGACAGACAGGATGGCGTGAATTAACTAAAAAAGGTAGGGCCCCCTCTCTGTCCATGGCGTGGGACTACTCGCTCATTACCGTGTTTTGTGGAGGGAAGGAGGGACGTTTCTCTCTCCCCTCCTGCACCCAATAAATTAATTAATTGAGGAGTATATAATTAATCTGAGAGATAATAATTAATTAATTAATCAAATGTCGCCTTCGTACGTACAGTATTTGTTTTCTTTGCGTTTCGTTTGATATACATATATACATGCAATAATACTTTAACATTTTCGTATCAGGTACACTTAATAATAGTAAAATGAGACGACTAGTAGTAAACTATTCATGTACTAGCTATTATAGTATACATACATAAAATTGAACGTACGTACGTAGTAGTCATATATTAGTATTAATATATATATATGAGACAAAATTAACAAGAGTTTTTCATTTATGAAATTAGTGTAATAACTATGGATGATCAAATTAATTGGGTGAGATAATCATGGATTGATCAGGCCAATGGGCAATCTGCAGGTATTATTCGAACCTTCCTGTTTATTAAATTAATTAATTAATTAATGGAGAAAATAACAATGCGGGTGAGGGCCAAATATATTCATGACAAATAATAATAATAATAATAATAATAATAATAATAATTTATGTATTTTGTTGCATTCTTTTTCGTAATTTGTGTAGCAAATTATATAATTAATATTTGAACCATGTATGCATATAATAATGGAAAATTAGATTGGAATACATGTGATGTGAATCCTAGATTTTGTGGATATATGGGATAAAGGACAATAATAAACATCACATGCGCGCGCAAGAAAAAAAGTGATCATGTGAGGCATATAATAATATTCTTTAAACGACACTAATATTCTTCTAACTGTATTGTACTTTGCATCGAGCTTATAAGCATATTGGGTCTACACAACCAACCTATATAGCTACACATATATACATACATACATAGGGTAATATAATAGCTTTTGTAGAAATTCTTGACCCAATTAGTATAAAGGCATTTAAACCTATATATATATATATATTATACTACAATTAATATAGAAGAAATTAAAGTATATAGCTAGCTAGCTAGTAGGGTTTGATTTTGAATGTAGTACTACCACTTTTTTTGGGGGCTTGTGAGCTGCTGCAGCACATGGGATTGGGAGCTAATATATAGCAACTAACTAACTTCAAAAGGGCAACATCAACTTTTATATAACATGCATGATGTTGATGATGGTATATATTGCTCTCAGTCTTGTTTCGTTTGTTCTCTTCCATTCCCCTCCACAAGACAAGA